AACCAATCCATATATATATATGTCTGTGTGTATTTTTTGTTGGAGCAAATAAGAAGAGGTTATTCTTCTCCTCTCTCTGGGCAAATAAAAGTGGGGGATTATTTCAGATCTGAGAATGGATTCGTGGAATGCCGTAGGGGTCGCCATTGCCGCTTTCCGTCGCCATTAGAATGGATTCGTGGAACGCTGTAGGGGTCGCCGTTGCCGCTCTCCGTCGCCATTCTTGGTCGCCTGTTTCCGTCTATTGCAGTCTTTCACTCTCTGTCACCATCTCTCAGATTTTGGGTTTCAAATTTGGGAATAGAGGGGCAAGACAGAAATGTGAAAAAATAAAAAAATAAAAAAGTGCCAAAATCTGAAACCCAAATCTGAAACAAGGATTCAATGCCACCGATGCTTATTGTCGTATGAAGGATTATGGTTTTGCCCCAAATGTTGAATCTTGCAATGCGTATTTGAGTTCTTTGATGAATTTGAATCCGGCAGATATCGCATTAGCATTTTATAAAGAAATGCAGAGATCAAGGATTTCGCCGAATGTTTATACTTTGAACATTTTTATTAGTGCTCTGTGTAAATTGGGGAAACTGGAAAAGGCTGTTGAGGTGTTTGGAGAGATGGAAAACATGGGTTGTGTTCCTACAGTTGTTTCTTATAATACATTAATTGTTGGACACTGTAACCATGGCCTTCTGAGCACTACTTTGAAGCTCAAGAATTTGATGGAGAAGAATGGGTTATGCCCAAATGATGTTACTTTCAACACACTTATTCATGGGTTCTGCAAGGAAGGGAAATTATACGAAGCGAACAAACTTTTTAGTGAGATGAAAGGGATTGATGTGTCTCCTAATACTGTAACTTACAATACATTGATAAATGGGTATAGCCAAGCAGGTAATGTTGAGATGGGTAGAAGGCTTTACGAGGAGATGTCGAGGAATGGGATTAAGAAGGATATCTTGACTTACAATGCACTGATTTTGGGACTATGCAAGGAAGGGAAGACAAAGAAAGCTGCTTATATGGTTAAAGAACTCGATAGCAAGAAGTTAATCCCTAAGTCATTTTTGGGTTTGTTCGATGATGGTGGCTGAGAAGGAGAGGGAGGGCGGTGTTGGGTTTGTTCCGGCGTCGGAGGTGGTGAAGGAAGAAGAGATGAGGAAGTTGAAGGAGATGCAGGCTTTGAAGAGAATGGAGGCTAAGAAAAGGATGGTGGAGAAGTTAATTAAGCAGAGGGGAGCTGGTGGTTCTGATGAAGAGAAGAAAACAGGGGCAAAAGGAAAAGAAAGAAAGAAAGAAAAGAGACAAAAAAAAAAAAAAAAAAACCCCCCCAAAACGACGTCGTTTTGGGGGGCTGCCGGGTAGGGCCGCCGGGTAGGGCGGCCGAGGATCCGGATTCCAAAAAAAATGAGTCAAGTCGATTGAAATGAATAGATCTGTCAGTTAGGATGCAAGTCTTATCACTTTGAAATTACTAATCATATTCAATTCTTGTACTAATAATAATCCTAATCAATTCTCGTTACTAATAACAGGACAATAAGGGTTATTTAAAGAGGTTGTTTGAGGTGTTTTAAATAAATATATTTTTTATTTTTTTAGATAAAAAGTTAAGAAAAAAATAGAGGTTTGGATTAATTTTTTATAAAAAAATATGTATTAAAAAATTATATAAATAAATATATAGGAGAAGTGATTGACTAGTCCGTACAGTACATAGGCAGTGTAATCGGCTGTTAGGAGATGAAAAATAGTTGCCTCCTTTTCGGGCTTAAATTAGACGGTATTGTTCGGCCCGTGTGAGCCCACCACACGTCATGTTTTGCTAATCGGAACCGTTCAATATGTAGAACTTGTCGAGCACTATATGTCTGTAAAAAATCACGTTGATCGAATATCAATAGCTATCTGATCGTATTATTTTTTTTGTCAATCGTTAACAATAACACCATCTATTATTTATACAAAATTGATTTAATCATGTAGCTATCTATATCCGATTAATTTGATTTTTTATAAGCATATAGTACTCGATGAGTTCTACACATTAACGGTTCGGATTATCAAAACGGGACCCTTGGTAAGCCCCCACTGATCCAACATTAACCTCCAATTTAATAAATACATACGCCTTTTTTTTCCCCTTTGAGAGCCTTTTCATCAATTCATCAATTCTCAGTACCATCACGTCTTTGTGTTAAAATATGTAATAAATTATTTTTTTTATATTTTTAATTTGTGAATAGTGATAACTTTTTAATTTTTTTACTCACTCTGTCCCAAAATAATAGTTCATTTTGGAGATTCTAATTTTTTTTTTAGTAGTACAATTATTACACTTTATAAATATTAGTTTTTCAAAATTATCCTTTGATAGTACATTTTTTTGGGAATATCAATTATCATAATTATACTTTTTTGTATTGTTAATAATTTTAAAAGAAGGGCAAAATGGGAAAGTCATATTATTTTAATCATTGGTTTTTGTAAGTGAACTAATATTTTGGGAAGGAATGAGTATATATAGGGAGAGTAGATATATCAGGCTGTTGAGAGATAATATGTTATAAACAAGATATTAAAAATAAATAAATATATAAATACAAATTTTAAATTAGGAATAACATTTTTCTTACACCAAATATAACAAAAGGAACTGTTAGAGAAAAATGTAGTTCTGTCTAGTTGGGATAGTAAGGATTATTAGAAATTTTATTTTGATAATTTGAATCATTTATTTTGTAAGGAGATGACCTATTAAAAATAGAATAAAATAAATCTGAAATCATAGTCGAATAATCGCATCAATTTGTCTTTAAGAAATCTATAAGAAGTATGATTTTTGTCTAAAATTATTACATCAATTTATTTTATTATAAGTGATTTATATATAAGAGTTTACAAAAATGATTAACTTGAATGTCCGAAGAAGGACCTATGGGCAATCCCACATACTCAACTCAACTAGATGCACTATCTTACAAATAAGATTACATCTTATGCAAAAGTTAAATTGATGTTATTTAGCTGGGATGGCATCAAAACCTCACTCCAACAAATGCACCTTTGCGATCAAATTTGGCGACTAAAACATTTTTGGTCACCAAAAGTCAGACCTTAGTGACAAATTTTCCTATTGGTCAGCAATGTTGTGAATTTTAGCGACTAAAATTTTTTAGTAGCCATATAATAGCTATTGGCAACTAAAACAAAATTTAGTCGCTAAAACTATTCAAAATAGGCGACCAAAAAGTATTTTAGTAGCCATATAGTAGTTATTGGTGACTAAAAAGTTTTTAGTCGGCGTTTGTCAAAATTTTAGGCTACTAATTCTACTTTTAGTCAGCGTACGCTGCCTTTTGCCGACCAAAAAATTTTCATTGCTAAAAAAAAGGGTTATTTTTTTGGAAACTCTTTGCCGACTAAATAATTTAGTCATTGATTAATTAGTTTTTGTCGACAAAAGAAATATTTAGTCGCTAAAGGTAGGAAATTTGTTTCGGAGGGATGTGTAAATATTGGCGCCCTCTCCTTTGTTTCACACACGCATAGAGACCACTCACAAACACACAGACCACTCACCACCAAACCTGACGCCGACTCCACCGTCACTCCCCACTATCACAGGTTGCCACCGCCACTGTTGCAAATCATAGGTTTTTGTCTTTCTCTCTCTCTCTCTCTCTCTCTCTCTCTCTCTCTCTCTCTTTCACTGTCGGTCTTCTCCCTCCCGAGCCATCTCTCTATTTCACTCTCTCTCTCTCTTCCCGTATTTTCCCATCTCTCACACTTCAACTAGGGTTTATTTTTTGTGTTGATTTCGTAAATGGGCTTGGTTGAAGTTTTCGATTTGTACGAAGTTAATTAAATCTTCATGTCCAAAATGGGTTTAATTTTAGTTTTGTAGGTTTGGTTTTGTTCTTACGAAATTATGGGTGTATTGTGTTTGAATTGAAATTATGGATTTTAGTTTTATAGGTTTATTGGGTTTCTTTGTGGATTTGATGTTGTGACTACACACACTCTCTCTCTCTCACTCTCTTACAATTCCAATGACTTCTTCTATGTCCACTGCCTTGCCAGTCAAATGAAGACTCTGTTTCTCAACTTCTCTCCAATCTAGTAGATTCATTTGAAGAATGAGGTATTAAGGAGGGGAAAATTGAAACTTTATTGGTTTATTAGTAGTAGGATGTAGAAGATGTTTCATGTTTGACAAGAGTCATTTGAAGTGGCTAAAATTACAGTTTTAATATAGGGAAAAAAAATTATTGTTGTTGTATGCTGGGAAACAAGTCGTTTCAAGGACTATTGTCATTAGCCTTGTAAAAGATATAAAAATTTGTAACTCTTTATGTAATGTTGCTACTTGAAGTTTTTCACTCATCTTGAAAATGAAGATTTCTGTGTCAGTGCCATAGTATAGCTCAATTGGTTGAATAATTGCATGGAAATTGGGTTCCAGGCTCAGCTTCAGCTAGCAATGACTTGGAACTGCATTTAGTTTTCATTATTTGTTAAACTGTGGTGCTTGTGTTGAATTATAAGTTTCACTTACGATTTAGTTACGCTTTGTTTATACTATTAAGATAGATTTCACTCTAAGATCCTTGATGGGTTTTGATTAATTGATCTCTCTCTCACTCCCACATATTAACAGAGGCTTCAAGGGTTTGTCATATGCTTCGTTGCTGGTTTAACTTTTACACTCTTGATACGTTCAAACGCCGAATACTTAAATCATTCTTTTATGTTAATTGTAGTTAACACAAATTTTTTCTCTGCAATTCTCTTTGTGCTCTGCCTAAATACTGCACAGGATTTACCCTGGGTTCCTAGATTGAATATTGAATTATCTCTTTGGTGGTATAGAAAATCTCTTTCTACTGAGCACTTGAAACCCCAATATTATAGCTTAGAAGTGGGTGAGGGTTTTGTTGTTTGAATGTCCATTCTTATTTTTACAGTTTGAGTTGACACTGGTGTAACTAGTGATGGTATTAAACTCAACCACTGCTAACCAGTCACTTAGACTACTAAATCAAAGAACAGGCAGATCTGAACATCAAGTGATCAATTAGTTAAGTGGGAATTTTGAGCGCCCATTTGCAAAAATATCTTGAGAGCAAGAGTCCCAAAAAACCGTCAATATACATATATAAGTAAAGACATTTATCAAGTGATTTTTTATGCATTAATCATGTGCAAAATTAATTATATCTATTTCAAAATCAACTGAATGCATTTCAAATAATGTTTTTATTAATAGTTCATAACACCAAAAAGACTTTAGGGAGAAGGGGGCCCACAATTGCATAATAAATAAAATTAGCACTTAATTACAATGATTGTTGAGTGTTCTACCATCTCTATACACTCTTGATCACATCGTCAAGAGGTTTTCCACCTTTTGTGTGTGTGTGTTTTGTTGTGTGACCTTCAACACTTGGTTTGACTTAATCTTTGAGTTCTTGTTGTAGCTCGACTTTTTCACGCCCCTTTCAGAAGTTCGAATATAAGCCCTACAGTTCGGACTCTCGCGGTTATAAATCTAATCTCACAAGTGCAATGTGAAATTGATAAACACCAAAGAGTCCAAATCCGGCAAATCTTTTGAAAAATCGATTTTGAATCAAATTGTCAAAAATGGACTGCTTTGCCAAATACAGAGTCACCACCTAAATATTTTGGAAAATTTAGGAAACCCATGACTCATGCCAAAGGCTACGTGTCCGTCATCACCAAGATTGTCTCCGCTCGGGAACTTAGGTACGAGAAGGGAAGGTCATGAACACATTTGAGCAGCCCCGATCGCCCGATCAAAGATTGGCCTCTACTAATCATGATATGAATCTTATGTACATTATATGCTCTTGTTCCAATTATTAGGCTAGCATTACTATGTGATGCGCACACACACAAGTATAGACTAATTTGCAAGGATTGGAACACTTCGAGTCATGTTTGTTTTGAAAGTTGTTTCGAATATGTACCATTTGAAAAAGTGATCGTATATGAACATTACTCAAATTATTCCAATTCAAGCAACAAGTCTTCATCCACGGGCATTCAAGCAGTTATAGCATTTAAGCAATTAGCCTCTTGGCATGCATG